ACCTCAGCACCCAAAGGACCCCCAACACCACAACGACAACCAGCACCCAAAGGACCCCCAACACCACAAGGAACCCCAAATCCCAAAGGACCCCCAACACCACAAGGATCCCCAACACCCAAAGGACCCCCAACAACACAAGGACCCCCAACACACAAGGACTCCCAGCACCCCAACAACCCCCAACACCACAAGGAACCCCCAACAACACGAGGATCCCCAGCACCACAAGGAACCCCAACAACACAACGACACTCAGCACCATAAGGACCCCAACAACACAACGACCCCCAGCACCCAAAGGACCCCCAACAACACAAGGATCCCCAGCACCACAAGGAACCCCAAAACCCCAAGGATCCCCAGCACCACAAGGACCCCCAGCACCTGCAGGGTGCAACACCCGGCACGCTGGAGTGTCACCCCAACACCCTGAGGACCGTCCCCAACACAGTGGGAAGGTGACACCCAGAACGCTGTAGCATCACCCCAACCAACACCCCAAGGACCCCCAACACCCCAACAACCCCCAACACTCCCAAGGACCCCCAACCCCTTCAGGGTGCAACACCCAGCATACCACAGTGTCACCCCAACACCTGAGGACTGTCCCCAGCACTGCGGGAAGGTGACACCCAGAATGCTGTAGCAAGACCCCAACCAACACCCCAACACCGCAAGGACCCCCAACCGCTGCAGGGTGCAACACCTGGCACGCCGTGATATCACCCCAACACCTGAGGACTGTCCCCAACACTGCAGGAAGGTGACACCCAGAATGCTGTAGCATCACCCCAAAACCTGCAGAACCAACCCCAACACCTGCAGAGCGCAACACCTGAACACTGCGGTGTCACCCCAATGCTTACAGAGGAACCCATGGGTGCCACCCAGCACAAGGCAGCGTCACCCCACCACCCTGACAACCCCCCCCAGCGCCTACAGAGGAACCCATGGGTGACACCCAGCACAGCGTCACCCCACCACCCTGACAACCCCCCCAATGCCTACAGAGGAACCCATGGGTGACACCCAGCACAGCGTCACCCCAACACCCTGACAACCCCCCAATGCCT